GCGCGTCGGGACTAACGACTCCCAACAGCGCGGGAGTCCAGACGGAGTTTGTGGGAGAGGCGTAGAGCATACCACGCCTCCCAGACCGCTGAAACAAATGCCGGCAGTGAAGTAACTGTTGCTCTGACTGCCCCCCTGCCGCTAGGGGACCACCGGGGGGCGAGTTGCCCCCTTACGGAAATCTGCACAGGAATGCAATTTCATCAAAGCATACAGCGTTGTATTCTCAGGCCGGATCACAAGGCCAGCTCGCGCGGAAAACAAAGTTATAAGTCTCGGTTACAGTTTCATTACTTGCTCAGTCTCAACCGGCACGCGCGTATCCGACCGCTGTAATTATAACTCTACCCGGAATTGTCGGATATGCCCTTCCACTAGCTCCAATCAAATCATTGCTACTATTAGTTTGCCTCTGTCGAACCTTTAGGAGGAAATATCCTGCGTTTGAATGCAGGCTACTGGATCACTCGGCTTGGGTAACTGGTTTCTGGGTTACCGCAACTGATACATTTACGAGAAACGCTGGCTGACTTAAGGTCAAGTTAACTGGTGGACAGTTGTTTTGCGAAAAAAAGTGGAAAACCACATGCATTTACTGCACACAGATCAGGGAGATTGTTGATCTTCTGATAGTACGATATCGTTGGACTTGAGGAGGATTGGTCTTAAATATCGAAAGAGACTTAAGTAGCGTAATTTCACACAACAATAGTCATGCTCCACAACTATGGTCTCAAAGCAGTATATTTTTAAAACATTTGTAAATCATATTATGGCGACATCTATTGTTAAGTAAAGAGACTAGACGCAAGCTAATAGTCTCCAGTAAAACATTTCCGGTCCGCATCGCGTTTCGTACTTCGATTTTTTTAATTATTTTAGTTTAATAATATACTAAGTGACATATAAATCCGAACACCCAGTTTAAATGGTTTTATTTTAATAAAAGTTGGTGAATGTATTTATCTTACTGTAAATAACAAGTGAAAAAATTTTCAGCCTTATCAGTTGGACATTCCGGTTTTTATACTGCTTTTTTTTAATTCACTAACGCTCTAAAAATGAATATTTCAGCCGCAGTAAAGAATCAACGTTGGCGGATTTTGGTTCTTGACATCCTTTACGATCGGTTACGATGCCTAGAGTACGGAGACCTGTACGATTTCGTCAACTTAGTGAGTTTGATAGGGGCCGTATAGTGAGACTTCGGGAAGCTGGACTTTCTTTTCGGGCAATTGCAGTTAGAGTGCAAAGAAGTATAGACACTGTGGTTAGGTGTTGTCAGGTATGGCTTCGAGAAGGCCGTACGCAAAGAGCAAGGGGCACTGGACGCCGCCGTAGAACAACAGACCGTGAAGCTCGCCGCCTAAGATTATTGGCCTTAAGGGACCGTTTCTCCACTACCAGGTCCATTGCAAATGAATGGTTTGCAGAACACGGAAGAGTTTACCGACGAATGAGAAGTATTGGCTTGTTTTCATACCGGCCACACTGGGTCCTCCCTTTAACTCGAGAACACCGACGTAATCGCCTTGAGTGGTGCAGACAACGGTCACTCTGGGATCAGGAATGGAACAGTATTATCTTTAGTGACGAGTCTCGATTTTGTTTAGGCATGCGCGATGGTCGTGCCAGGGTTAGAAGGCGACGTGGTGAAAGGAGGAATCCACAGTTTTTTGTTGAAAGACATGTTCATCACACTGTTGGAGTTATGGTTTGGGGTGCTATAGCTTATGGTTCCAGGTCACCTTTAATCTTCATCAGAGGTAACATGAACGCGCAGCGTTATATCCACGAAGTTCTAGAACCCCATCTTTTACCCTATCTTGACACCCTGGTAGATCCAACTTTCCAACAAGATAATGCCCGACCACATGTTGCAAGAGTCACAATAGACTTCTTTCAACATAATGATGTCACATTGTTACCATGGCCACCAAGATCTCCCGACTTATCCCCAATTGAGCACGTGTGGGATATGATGGGTAGGAGATTGCTCAATTTGGTTCTAAAGCGAGTAGGGGAATTACCGCGCGCTGTTCACTAAACGTATGCATTATTTGCGGGAATCCCCGAAAGTGCGTTTCGTTTTCAAGCAAAGACAATGTGAGGGTTGCCATTCGTGTAAAAAAGTAAATAACTACCGATGACGTAATCATCATCTAGACTCCCCGACCCCCCATGTCATCCAAAATAAGCAAAGCAAAGACCCCCCGCCCCCCCGTAGTGCTCACGTAATACTTGAACGGCCCCTAACTCAACACATCTTACACAGCCGTTGGATGTTGCATTCTTCAGACCTTTCAAGTGTCATCGAAGGCAAATTTTGGACTCCTGGAAAGCTACATCAGACGGCCAGAAAATGCCAACCTTACCAAAGGATGTGTTTCTGTATCTTTTGAATAAGCTATGAAAACAAATTCCCCTTTGTGCAACTAAAGTGTTAGAACGATAACCAATTTATACCTTGCCCTGTCGTCGAAGAAAATATACCCGTGCTTGTTTCGGATGCCTTTACATAATGTCAAAAACAATCTCTCATCTCAAGCATCTGATCCCAAGACTAAAAAGTCCTAAACTTAAAGGAAGCCGACGCGTATCTTTGTAGACAACATTGTGTAAAGAGAACGAAATTGCAGTAATGTAAAATCAGTCTCGGTACAGTGATGGTGGCATCTGGTATCGGTGTATATCTTTTCAGCAGTCACGCATATTGTGCTGTGTGCGGGTCACACGTCGTCGCTGTTGAGTCCGGGTCCGTCCGTTCGCGCAAATTGCGATATAAATCTATCTCGCCGTCAGAATAAATTTACAAACGCTTAACGTTCGCCGCCCGTCCCGTTGCCGCGCGATCTCGTCTCGTCGATATTTGTCCGTTAAGTCAACAACCAAGAATTATGCAGCAAACACTTATCACTAGTCCTACGCCAACTGGGGGGCGGACATCCCCGTTTGATTTCTGTCTTTGTCTCGCCGCGTCTGTTTCGCTTACTCTGCTGCGATATTCACTGATGTGCATTTTGCATTCCAATGCTCCGGATTAAATCAACTGGAGAGTCGTACCAAAGAGGTCACATCTTGAGCCCTACGTTGCGGAAGTTTGCAGTTTGAAAAGTCGAAAAAAAGCTTGTATTTGTTTCCGTACCAGTCATCCGCCTTTGAGGTTTTTCAATATTGCAAAATGCGAAAATTTATTGATGTCGAGGAAGAAACAACTGCTATTATACAGGGTGGCGCATCGAAAACGAATTATAAATGATGAACATTTTCTATTCGACACTTGCTTTTCCGACGATTATTCGTTTTTCTTAAATGGCGTAGTAAATGGTCATAACTGCCGATATTGGTCCGATTCTAATCCCAGAATTTATCACATTAATTTTATATCATTATAAAGGGAATTGAAATACCTTTAAAATAAGGTATCACTCGACGCCCCTTTCCATTTAAGATTTTGGGGGTGGTGTCACCCCCGCTTAGAAGGCTGCACGTGCTAACGTGATTTTTTGCCAAACTTGTGTCCCCCTCGAAAACAAAATCGACGGGTCTGAGCGTTTTTCCAGAAAAAAAAACTGAGCTGCCAGTAAATGCGTGTTTCGTTTTCGATGCGCCACCCTGTATATACAGGGTGACTTCGAAGTTGAGTCATTTATTTTAACAGTGAGTAGATCTGATTAAAAGAAATGTTTTTTTCCTTTACCATTTTTCTGGTAAAATTAAAGTAACAAAGTTATAGCCCTTTGGAAGTTTGAGTACCGCCCTGTCTCAATAATAATATTATGTGCTCGTGTTTGGCAACAACGGATATAATCCGCCTTATCGGTTCATCGCATCGGAAACAAAAAAGCGAAAGAATTTGGAACGATGTTTTTACAATTATTTTATTCAGTTGTATACAGTCAGCGTCAGTCGGTAACGCGTGAGTGAATAGTGGTGTCTGTTGCGTGGCTCAAACGAAATAAAAAATGGCACATGTTTATGCGGATCGGTTTCCCAATCGAGTGCAACCAACCCCTCGTGCCTTTGTTAATGAAGTACGACGGGCTCGTGAATCAGGTGACTTAAGACCTCACAGGGGACGGCATGCCGGTGCTCCAAGACCTCACGATCAAATACAGGTCCGCACTGAAATACTTGTCGGGAGGATACTTTATAAAACAAGGTAAATTTTTTTTTTAATTTTTTTTTTATTTTTACACACAAATTTTGGTTTATCTTCCTTCTACAATCATTATCTGAAAATTAATGACTCAACTTCAAAGCTGTATATATAGAGAGAGAGAAAATGATCATGCGGAGAAAGATATATAACAAAAACTAATAAAGTAAAGTAATAAAAAAATGAGTTCGAATTTGGAATACATTAGATTTGAACAACGTGTAAAATAATCTCAAAGAAGACAAGTTTGTATTAAAAATTATGCAAGACGTGAGCAGAAGGCAGCATTTTCGTTCTTCTGATTCATTTTTCGAGCTTTCACTTATTGTTTAAATAGAATGATTTTATTAATGACGTTCTTGAACCATCAAATTTTCATCAGCGTGTAATCAGGAAATCTACATCTGATTCACTTTTCTGACAACAAGTTCGTTCTGTTTTGCAACATTCATATTAGATGTATATACATAGTTGTTCAAATAAAGAAGCGAAGTTTCTCGGTATTCCAAATATGATTTTTTCTTTCCAATAAGCGATTACCTTTTTCGATAAATATTAGTCTTCTGTCGTCTGATAAGAAAGTTTCGATATCAACTTATTTTTGCTGGTATGATAATATCTCCGGGGTATTTATAGAAGGAATTATTGGATAAAGTATGCCTTTGTAATAGGTAAAAACAAGTTATACTCTGCTACATTACCTGCCGTGTATAATTTTTTGATTCATCGCTGAGCAACAAATTAATGTGAAAACAGCATTTGTAACTTTAACGAATGCCTAGATTTTACTATTTTGCATTATCTAAGTGTTTTGGAAGTAAGAATAAAAAACATCTCTTGGCTTGAATCCATATCTGAATATACAACGCAAATGAAAATTTCATTTATTTATATCAGTATTACAATTTTCAGTATCGTCACTGTCAACTGCAGCCTTTTTATCTGTGATATCATCCCATGACTGAACCTTTCCGGATCCCAGGAAGACAAATGCGACAGTTGCAAATATGTACATTGCAGCAGCGATCAGGAAGATGATCGTCCACTGACTCTTGTTAGACTGAAAAAAAGCATACGCGTTAAATATCGCCAAATCGTGGCGTAATATTATTCATTGTTTCGAAACTTTGGAAACACCCTGTATAGTTACCTCATCTGTGACTATAACCTGCACCAAAAGCGGAACTACGATGTCGCATATGGTACAAACAGCATTGGTGATGGACATAAGTATCGCACAAAAATTTGGTGAAATGTCCAGGTAGCTCATCGAGATACCACCTTGGTATGCCGCGCTGAATGACTGGTGGAGAACCATCAACACGCAAGAGAGGATTGTAGCATTTTCTGGTAGAAAACTCAAAGAAACCAAACATATTGCTGGTCCAACTGTAGCTGAAATTATAATAGGGTTCAGAATAGCTTTAAGTCATTTAAGCTCGGTGCTTATAATCCCAACAAAGTTTTCCAGTGTTCATGATACTATGAGTACAATAAGCAAAAAAATGGTTTCGTATCCATATGGTAGCATGATGTTCAATTGTCTATACTAAATCTACCCATAAAAAAAAGTGTGCTGATCAACTTACATATGGTAACAAATACTTTTCTGCATGTCTCCAGGCTCATTATTCTTTTTCGAATAACAGTATCGGCAACATACCCAAAAATGAATCCAAGTATGAAATTAGCTAGAAATGGGAGTGATGAAACAACACCATTCTGTAAGGAAATCATAGAAAATGTTATACCTTCCATTACTCTTTGAATAAAAGAGTCAAAGTGATTATTATTAGGTATGATATTTATTTTTGAGTCATCTTCGCCGCGCTTTCTCAACAAGTGCACAGATGAAATCATATTCATGAATCAACAATAGTATTCTGGTGAATCAAAAATTATTTATATATAGGGTGCGTCATCTATTACCTTTTTTTCTATTTGAAAAAACAACACGCTTTTTACGAGGTGAAATCGAATTTTTTTATTGATAAACGAAGATTGGTTTATGCCATTTATGTATGAAAAATAATATCAGTCATGTGACCACCGCGGCTTCGTTTACAGGTCGACATCCGAACATCAAAATTTCTCAATGACTTTTCCCAGAATAATCGGGTCTAATTTCAGTCCGAATATTGCGCTTTAGGTCTTGAATTGTCCGGGGACTATTCGCATACACTTCTCCTTTCAAAAATCCCCAAAGAAAATAGTCAAGAGGTGTTAAATCGTACGATCTCGGGGGCCAGCTGACATCTGAATTTCGTGAAATTATGCGGTCTTGAAATTTCGTGTGCAATAAGGCGATTGTTTGGCGAGATGTGTGAGCCGTTACTCCGTCTTGATGAAACCAAAGATCGTCGGAACCAATACGATCCAACTTTTTATTTTTAAGGATATATTAAAAAAGTAACAAGATTCATATACTTATAAGAATCACTATATGCGCTGTCTTTTTACTGTTCTTTTATGGACCGTTTCTGGAGCATCTCTACCAAGAGTCCAACAGTAGTCTGCAAGCATGGAAGGATTCCACTTTCCCGGGTACCTTTTTTCCATTGTTGAAATATCCTGATGAAAACGTTCGCCGTGCTCATCACTTACGGCTCCGCAATTGTCAGGAAAAAAGTCCAGGTGTGAGTGTAGGAAATGTATCTTAAGAGACATATTACAGCCCATCTTTTGATACGATAACAGCATATTTTTGACAAGGGTTTTATAGTTGTCAGCTTTTCTATTTCCTAAGAAATTAGTGACAACCAGACGGAAATCATTCCAAGCAGTTTTTTCAATACCTGTTAAAGTGTCTTCAAATTGTGTATCTTTCAAAATATTTCGAATCTGTGGCCCAACAAAAATACCTTCTTTAACCTTTGCCTCACTTAGTCTTGGAAATTTCTGACGCAGGTATTGAAAAGCTGACCCATCTCTATCTAATGCCTTGACAAAGTTTTTCATTAGGCCCAACTTGAAATGCAGTGGTGGTAATACAATTTTTTTCGAATCTACTAATGGCATATGCTGTACATTTTTTTGACCTGGCTCTAGGAATTGACGAACAGGCCAGTTTTGTCTGGTGTAATGAAGTGCCTTTGCCCGACTGTCCCATTCACACAAAAAACAGCAAAACTTTGTGTAGCCTAGCTGCAGCCCAAGTAAAAGTGCAACAACTTTCAAATCGCCACAAATAAGCCATTGGTGCTCATGGTATTTTATGCATGTCAATAGGTACTTCATATTGTCATATGATTCTTTCATGTGAACTGCATACCCTACAGGAAGAGATGGTAAAATATTTCCAATATGCAATAACACTGCCTTTAAACTTAATGTTGAACTGTCTATAAACAATCTCCATTCTTCTGGGTTATAGTTTATATTTAAAGCCGCCAGTAAGCCGTTAATGTTAATGCAGAAAACCAAGTTATTCTCCATATTGAAAAATGGTTCTAAGTCTTTGTGGCGTTTACGAAAAACGCATACCGAAACATCGTCTTCTAATAAGTTCCACTGCTGCAGTCTTGATCCAAGCAACTCTGCCTTACATTTTGGAAGTTCTAAATCTCTTACAAGATCATTTAATTCTGACTGTGTTATTTTGTGCAGTTGGTAGCATGACGTGCTCGGTATAGAATCAGGATCTCTTGACGTTGATGGCATATCTTCTTCCTGACGAATCACTCGATCGCCATGATCTGATTCGTTTTCTAATTCGCAAGTGTAGGATTCTGGGGGTTTTGGAATAGGATTTTCGTCACTGTGAGGCACAGGTCTCATCGCAGATGGTATGTTTGGGTAGTTAATAACCGATTTTTGTTTTCTGTGGCTTGTCCAACACAAGGTACCATGCAAAAGTAATAATCATTAATATGATTTGTAGGCTCTCTCCAAACCATTGGGACAGCAAAGCGCATAGACCGTTTTTTGCCATTTAACCAGCTCCTCAGACTTGAAGCACATGTATTACAGCAGATGTGGGGTGCCCACTGTTTGTCTTGATCACCTAGTTTACAACCGAAATAAAGCTGATATGCCTTTGTTATTAGTAGAGTAATAGACCGTCTCTGAGACGCAAAAGTCACATCACCACACACGTAACAAAACTGATCTGGATTGTTTACACACTTTCGAGACATCTTGCATGAACGCTGTCAGCCAACTGAGGAAAAAAATGGCTAATATAAAACAATATAATGTACACGTATGTATAACGTAACACAATCATGCCGATTACATCATCTTTCCTTGCCGAATATAAAAATGTAGCACGTGCATTCTTGTGAATTACAGTATATTAACACTGTCACAGCAGGAACACATATAATTACCGTATCTCTAAAACTTGAACTAATATTGAAAAAATAAGTTTCATTCCGGTTTTAGCACATTAAAAATAGTAATATTTTGTTGATTTTATTTAGGATATTTTTTGGCTGTTGATCAGTGATAATCTGCACCAAACAGTCACCTTTTCATGATGAAGAGGTTGTTCATGATGTTGGTGTGGATTTTCAGCCCCCCAGAATCTACAATTTTGCTTATTTACGTACCTATTGAGGTGAAAATAAGCCTCATCAGAAAAGAGCACTTTGGCAGAAAATCCGTCTACTCTTTCCGGCATCCAATTAAGAAAAACACGCCGCTGTTGATGGTCTGCCGGATTCAATTCTTGTGTTAGTTGGATTTTGTTTGGATGGAGGTGTAAATCAATGTGTAAAATCCGGCGTAAAGTGGTCTCACTAATTCCCAATTGTTGCGAACGGTGCCTAGTCGAGGTGGTTGGATCTTCTCGCACACTTTCACTCACGAGTACGAGCTGGACGAGCATGTTGGTATGGTCTACGACCTTCATCTGAACCAGTTTCCTCAAAACCATTAACAATCCAACGAGTTCCAGGCTCTGCAGGGCGTCCACGCCGGCCAAAACAATTGCGAAGTTTGCGAGAAGTATTTTTTATATTTCGACCGTTTTCGTAATAAGTTTGGATAACGAAAATGCATTGTTGTGTTGTAACCGAATACATGACTATAAATACATATAGCATACCTTTGACAGTTCATCTATGCATACCACATGATGTTTGACTCACATGGTAACACATAAACTTATAGGTAAAAAAAAGTAATAGATGGCGCGCACCCGTTACTTAAACGGTAAACACCTGAACTAAGATGAGGAATAAGACACTGCTGTAATGAATACTTACTGCATCGATATTGTACTTGAGTATTTTGTTAATATAAGACGGCATTTCAATGAATGAAATATTATCGCCCCAACTGCAACCAAACTGGGCCAGCGTAATACCAAGAAACGGTAAAGACGTAAGAATTTTTGTCCAAGGCGTGGCCCTATACTGAAAACAGATATTGCAAATGCAGATTACATATATTTTTAAATATCCGTTTTGACTAGTCTGTACGCCTCCAGAGAACGAAGTTGGGGCATCTCTGGATCAAGTGTATCGTGTTGAGAAATAAACCGCCACTTTTCTAAAATTTTCGTTTTTCTTATGTAGGTACTTATCGGACCGCCCCCGTACAGCCATCGAACACGGACACAGATGCTGCGGAGGGTCACCCGCGTTGTTATTCTGTCAATGCGGTCCCTTGCTTTCTCCGTATCGGTCGTCGACGTTAAAATTATGACTTTAACTAACAGCTATACGTAAGTTTTCAAGTACATTAGTCTCTTTTATTCCCTTAATTGCAGATTTATAACGCCATTTGGAACATTTTAGCCTCACATAAGACAGCTATTCTAGGTCGGTTTAAATTGTTTTTCTTAACAAAAATTAATAAGATTATTGGCAACTAACTTGATATAGATGTAAAACTCATTAATAATAGTGTATGCAAATGATGTGCATACACAGATCAGAATAAAATATAAAGATATACAGGATGGCCAATATATAACTGACTGATTTAAATTGCGCGCCATTTTTGATACACGCATTCCGGTAGGAGGCGCCGTAGTAGTTGTTTAAAGCACATGTATCCGATTGATGATGGAGCGCTGCACGATCCCACCACGCGCCCGTATTGTTCAAACGTTTTACTTAAATAATGAGACAAGATTTCGATCGAAATAATGTGCCCACTTTTAACACCATTCGTTGGTGTGGAAATTGTACTCCGGAACATATCGAGAGAGTTCGTGAAAGTGTAGTGGAGCGCCCTGATACGTCTACCAGACATCGTTCTCAACAACTGGGTATTCGTCGCGCGTCATTATACACTATTTAAGACTTGCATTTGCGGCCACGCAATAACTACAGACTAGTGACCATGAAAGTCGCCGACAATACAGTCGTGGAATATTGCAGCTTAATACAACATTAACAATAAGACAAACAATATTATGATATGGTGACTAGAAAGGTAGGAAAAATTGGGAAAGCGATGTCAAAACGGACAAGTCGTAAGACATAAATTCATAGATACCAAAGAAACCTCTACATCTACAGCTCTTATCTGTTTGATATACAGGGTGGCGCATCGAAAACGAAACAGACGCATTTACTGGCAGCTCAGTTTTTTTTTGCAGCCGCCTGGGCGAGGGTGACACCAACCCTAAAATCTTAAATGGAAAGGGGGGTCGAGTGATACCTTATTTTAAAGATCGTTCAATTTCCTTTATAATGATGTAAAATACATGAGCTTAGGTTCAGTAGTTTTGAAGATTTATTGATTTAAAGCTTAAAGTAGAGTTTAATAGGTACATCGGATTAGTTTGTACTACTTTCAGAAGAAATTTGACTAAAAGAATTTCCTTAATAAGTAAATGCTTTCCTTCACTACGCCCATGGTTTGTTTATCATTTTGTTGTTCAAAATAGCTATTGGAGCGTTTTTTTGTGGCAAAAAAGTTATTTCTTGAAGAAAGATAAGGAAATATCTCGTACTTATTTTAAATAGGAATTTAGTACATAGTTTGCGATTGATTTGACCAAATTTTCTTTTTTTCTGTTTCGTTTACGATGCGCCACCCTGTATATCTAAATATTCAAAGAGTAGTTTCTATCTATCCTACTCACTTTTGCGTTTTCCTCGTGATCCAAAGAAGAAGCAATATACTTCTTCTCCACTTGCGAGATGAATTTGTGGTCAAAAGGTGTATCAGCAGCGAGAACTATCCACAATGCCAACCACATTACACCCAGAGCTCCGTTGAAATAAAAACTGGATGGCCAGCCCCAACTGGAGGAACATAAAAAACCTGTGACCGGCATTGTAACTATAACGCCCAGAAGGGAACCTAAACGGAATCGTCGTTACTGGCGTGTTGATCGTGGCTTAGGCCAATTTCACTCACCGGAACCACCAAGTGCTCCAAGAAAGGATCTCTCGGCCGGTGGAGCCCACTGGGAGAGGACGCTGTATAGGGCTGGAAGTACACCAGCTAGAAAAAGTACAGTACAATCAGGAACATGGCGTCCCAGAGAAGGCTTAGGATTTTCAAACTAAATAAAAAATATCAAAAATGGATCACCAGATGTACGAGCTTCATTTTTTTAAGATTACGTCATTTTGATGTTCTACATCTCTTCGCGCGTTTTCGTAGGATTCTGTTCTTTGCATTTTGGCCTTTAAGCAAGAAATTGAAAATATACTAAGTGACATATAAATCCGAACACCCAGTTTAAATGGTTTTATTTTAATAAAATTTTGTATAAGTACTTAATGAAGCATAATAAGTAAATGATAAAAATTTCAAAATGATTGCACTGCTTTAAAGCCCTTTGACCTTTAATAATGTGTGGATGCGCCCTGATGTGCTACGCATTCTCCAACGCGCCTAGGCATGCTTCTGATCAGGTGGTCAATGTCCTCCTGTGGTATCTCATTCCAGGCAATCACCAACTCCTCTCGAAGTGCTTCTAGAGTCTGAGGAGGACGTTGCAAATTGAGCAATCTCCTACCCATCATATGCCACACGTGCTCAATTGGGGATAAGTCGGAAGATCTTGGTGGCCATGGTAACAATGTGACATCATTATGTTGAAAGAAGCCTATTGTGACTCTTGCAACATGTGGTCGGGCATTATCTTGTTGGAAAGTGCGTTCATGTTACCTCTGATGAAGATTAAAGGTGACCTGGAACCATAAGCTATAGCACCCCAAACCATAACTCCTACAGTGTGATGAACATGTCTTTCAACAAAAAACTGTGGATTCCTCCTTTCACCACGTCGCCTTCTAACCCTGGCACGACCATCGTGCATGCCTAAACAAAATCGAGACTCGTCACTAAAGACAATACTGTTCCATTCCTGATCCCAGAGTGACCGTTGTCTGCACCACTCAAGGCGATTACGTCGGTGTTCTCGAGTTAAAGGGAGGACCCAGTGTGGCCGGTATGAAAACAAGCCAAAACTTCTCATTCGTCGGTAAACACTTCGTATGCCAATAGGTCTTCCGTGTTCTGCAAACCATTCATTTGCAACGGACCTGGTAGTGGAGAAACGGTCCCTTAAGGCCAATAATCTTAGGCGGCGATCTTCACGGTCTGTTGTTCTACGGCGACGACCAGTGCCCCTTGCTCTTTGCGTACGGCCTTCTCGAAGCCATGCCTGACAACACCTAACCACAGTGTCTACACTTCTTTGCACTCTAACTGCAATTGCCCGAAAAGAAAGTCCAGCTTCCCGAAGTCCCACTATACGGCCCCTATCAAACTCACTAAGTTGACGAAATCGTACAGGTCTCCGTACTCTAGGCATCGTAACCGATCGTAAAGGATGTCAAGAACCAACATCCGCCAACGTTGATTCTTTACTGCGGCTGAAATATTCATTTTTAGAGCGTTAGTGAATTAAAAACAAGCAGTATAAAAACCGGAATGTCCAACTGATAAGGCTGAAAATTTTTTCACTTGTTATTTCCAGTAAGATAGATACATTCACCAACTTTTATTAAAATAAAACCATTTAAACTGGGTGTTCGGATTTATATGTCACTTAGTATAAAATCGATGGCCTGAGATGAACATTTTTTTTCAGCGTTGTGTGTTTTTACAGAGACATCACCCTCCTTAAAGTTAGAGCGATTTAATTGGATCCTAATGTAGCTAACCCTAGCCAATAAGTAGTACCTTGAGCAAACCCCTGTAGAGCACGGCAGGCCATCATCCCGTACGAACCAAACGTATCAGCCGTCACAGGAGTGAGAATGCATATGATGCAATTGATTGTCATGCTGATGATAAGAATCCTCTTCGTACCGTATCTTTTCATAACTACGGCCATGAACACTTGCGGAATTATGTAGCCCCAGAAAAATGACGATAATACTACATTTTTGTTGGTCCAGTTATATGTCTGCAAGAGAAAATATTAACAAAAGTGGATTTCTTCAAAATCAGCGCTTGTGCGTACAGAATTTCTTCGGGAAAGACTGTTTTCATGCACTTGTACTACCTCTGACCCCGCAACATCGTAGGCCACGATTGGTATGGAGGAGGGAGAGACAAATTCTGTGTGGACACACATGATGGTCGTCCAAGAGTAAGGAGGAGATGTGAACGGCAGTGTTAAGGACTTCCGCGAAAGTAGCTTCAGCGCCTTATTAGTGATTCGATCCTCTCCAGGTGCTTTACGCACCTTGAGGTCTTTAAGATGACCTTGGGAGCTCTGCTGGTGTGCAATGCGGAGTCTCAGGAGATTCCGCTGATGTGCCATGCAGCTCTTCAGTTGAGGAATCTTCTGAAGATTCCTCTGAGGCAAAATCACTAAGGGAGGCACTACTGCCACTGACGCCGTTGGCCCTAAAATATCTCCTGACGGATACATTATGTGGCTACTCGTCAAGGTCATTATCAAGGTCATAGTTGGGAGAGAACTGACCTTCCGTTGCATCAGCGAAAACCTCGACCTTTTCCTCTGTCCTACAGACTATGCCCCTAGGTCCGTGGATGTGCGGGAGTTGTTCTCGCTTTCCGTTTCTGAGCGACTTTCCAACTTTGCAGAGAGGAATACTTGAGTCAAGCATCCCCGACAGAAAGTCGCTCCGTTGCTCATTACGGAATTCATGAAGAGCATTTCTCACTTCATGAACAACATTCGTTGCTCTGTGAAACATGGAAAATACAAACCTTTACAACAAGTTCAGTACCCTATTCCTATCATGACGGCTAGAATGTATTTCAATTATTATAACAGAAACTCACGATACGTCTCGGATTATCCATCTCAATACAGATATCGACTGGACTATAAGTGATCCGCTTATTGTCGATAGGAACAGTGCTGCATATGTGCGCATGTTGTACAACGGAACAGACTTTCACAAAATTCAAATCTTTGGCGTCTACCGTTTATAACCGCACTTTTAGTTGTCATCTTAACGGTTTTCGCGAAAGTATAGCTAGGTTTAATAAATAGATTTAAAATGTCTGTTGCTAAGATAAATCGAGTAAAAGAGAAAGTAGAAGAGCAGTTAAATAAATTAAAGCTTTCTGGTGAAGTAAAATCAGAAATGAGAACATTAATGCGGAAAGCTATGTTACATCCATGTTATGGGAACCCAGAGTGAGTTTTTTGATGCACTTCAATGTACAGTCCGATAGATTTTCATGTCTATTTAGTGTCCAACGACTTAATGACTCCACGTATCTGGTAAAGGCCTATTGAAAGAAATTAAACTCACTTTTTTTTGTGAGTGAGGTACACCTTTTCACTGTTGTTCCTAGCATTTATTGAGATTTCAAAATGTTGTCCTAAGTATAGTCATTGTGTAATCATCCTAAATATTAGTCATGTATTTTTATTTTTCTCAGATACAACTGGTCTCTAAATGATTTTGAACTTGGAGCTAGGCTGGGTAGAGGAAAATTTGGCAGGGTCTACATTGCTAGAGAGAAGTATACCGGTTATGTTGTAGCCCTGAAGACACTTGTCAAAAAGGAACTACACAAAAGTCATGTTGAGAAACTGATTCTGCGAGAGATTGAAATCCAAAGTCATCTTCAGTAATTATAATAAAATGTTCATTTAATCAAGTTTTTAATATGTTTCATTTTCCAGGCACAAGCATATCTTGCAATTATTGACATGGTTCCATGACTCTCACAGGATATATTTGGTGTTGGAATATGCGCAGAAGGGAGAATTATACAAACACCTTACTAATGCTCCTGGGAAAAGGTTTCCTGAGCCTCTGTAAGTTTTTCAATCATATATTATTCAGTATTGTAGTTTTATTGTTTGCATGAAATATGATGCAGATCTTTCCATATAGGGTATTCGAGGCTTAAATGGATAGTGAAGTGGTAGATAGTATGGACTGAGACCTTTCCATATCTGAAAATTAAATAGCAATTTATTTTTTACTGATATAAACACGCTAAATAGCACTTATCTCAAACACTATTTTTTTGTAAAATTTTGCACATTAAATTTCATTCCAAAGTGTATATCTTATTGGATGATTGGAAGATATAAACCAACCATGTTTGTGTTAATATTTTGTAGCATAACCATTATTATCAATCACCGCCTGGCATCGTCTCATCATAGATTGTAGAAGTTTCTTCTGAAGTGTAAAGCAGTTTTTACACTTCAGATTCAAATTTTTGCCAAGGTCGACTTGACGTTAACCATCTTTGTATAACTCAATGATCTTAGTTTTCACATCGATAGAAATTTCTGGACCCCACAGCATGGTCTTAAAATCACTCAACTTATTCCACAATACTCGATGAACACTAATCCTCTTCTGACACGAAACTGTACTAAGCTAATGTTGAAAAGAATTTGTCTACAAATTTTTGTCCCTGATTAAAAAGTGCTTATATTCAGACTTATTGTGTTCATTGCAGATAATGTAAAAACAAGAAATTTAATTTTTCAACTAATAAAGCATTTTTTTATATTGGCAATAAAGTATGAATTCGTTTTCTAAAGGTATTTAGGTAAATATTCATATATATAGTCAACGCCAAACAAAGTGGCGTGCACGTCATCAAGGTGGGTGTGTTGAAAAATTTACATTGTTGCCAAACTTTTTGTAAAATAATAAAATTTATTATTTACATATCTAGGTTTATAAGCAATATTAACCTCAAATGAGAACAAAAATAATAGTATAATAAAATTATAGATCTGTACTTGCATAATCACTAAGTATGACAATTATTGATCAGATGACACTATGAAACTACCATATTTAATTGATAGCTTAAAGGTACTGAATAAAAATCCAAATGGGGTCCTCCAAATTTTATGCATGGTATTTATTTTACAGAATTCATACAGAAAAATGCATTCTAAAATTAGGTAAGCTACTGATGTAAGCTTTTTCTGTACAATAAAGTTAGTTGGAGTTTCTTTCTTCAGCGCTGTCTGAATCTGAATCTTCATCACTCTCAAAGTTGATTATTAAAGGTTCGATGTCTGGTCGATCAAAAATTCGTTCTCTTTCATACCATTTAAAAATTTCTTGCTCAGTATGTCGAACACTATTTTTCCACATGTCTGGGGTAACCGTTTGTAGAGCCTCGTTCCACATATCCAAACAGTCTTTTTCACTGTTACCATCTCTACCAATATGTCTGTTATAGTAACCTTTTGCTATGCCCCAAATTAACTCGATAGGGTTAAATATACAATGGTAAGGAGGCAGACGAAGAACTTTGTGCCCATGTTGTTCCGCCAATTCATCAATCACGTATATTTTAGGTGGTTTGTTTCTAAAAAAGCAGTTATTTTAAGAATAGGAATAAACAAAAGAAATATAAACTGTCGACCAAAATATATATAATTAAGAAGCATTATGTACCGAGCAACAATACTCAATAGCTCTGTTTTAAACATTGTGTTTAAAAATGGTATGTTTTGATTTGTCAACCAGTCTTGGATATTTTTTTTTGTCCATGCATTGTTGGGCACTTTGTTCAATATCATGCTGTGATAAGGGGCGTTATCCAGTATAATCATAGATGGACTCTCCAATTTTTCTAATAACTGATGTTGAAACCATTTCAAAAAATTGTCCTGGTTCATCTCTCCATGGTAATCGCTCAATTTTGTTTTCGAAGAAAATATCGCTTCACTACCCTCAATAAACCCATTTTCATTTCCAGCATGTAATATAATGTATCTAAAATATATTAGTTTTAAATTTTATAGTGCAAATTGTGTAAAAGTACATACCTTTTACCATCTGTTTTAATAGCTTTCACGCTTTTTTGGTTTCCATTTTGCCAAGAGCGACCTATGGTCCCATTTTGAAATATCCAAGTTTCATCGAGGAAGACAAACTGGTTTAAGGCCTCAACCTTGGCTTGATTGTATTGCCTTAGAAATTCCACCCTTTTCAAAGCTATACTTGGTAGTTCCATGAGCCCTCGTCGCGGATTGTCCTTAAGCCACCTAAATCCAAGATCTCTAAGCAACCGCCTTAAAGACGTGGCCCTATCTCTTAATCGAGACCATAAAGTTTGTATCATAACTTGTTCTTCTGAAACCATGTGTAATATGACATTATAATTTAGTTAACAAATTAATGAAAATTTATGATAAGTTATTATAATAAGATCTTACTTTTGTGATACATATTATAGATCACTTCTCGAATGGCACTTGTATCCAATGTCGCTGTGTTGGTTACACGTTTAATATAACTCCGCTTTTTCTTGGGCGATTCTAAATTTGCATCACTTTTCACACCCTCGGAAATACGACTAACTGTCCTTTAACTAATTTTTAAAGCAGCAGCAACACGCTACAAAAAATGAAATAAAATTTCACTATTATTAATATACATTACATATAATTATTAGTAACCTACCTCTTGAACAGCATTTAAAGGCAACAAAGGCCCGTTGTTGTCCCTTTCTTGCTCAAAGTAGTGCATTAACGAGGCCACGAGTTCCTTACACCGACTATTTAACTGTTTGGGCATCTTTATATACCAAAATTGCCTTTATCTACTCGTAAAATGAATAATTTTGTTTTGAAACAAACAGTTGTTGATTTACAGTATGCGGGGCCAAAGGATTTATAAAGATTTGAAATGCCACAAATTGATTCAGTGTCAAAATTAATACAAATGTCAGTTCCCAGTTTAAATAAGTTTCAAGGTGACAATGTGTCAACGCTGCGAAATCGGTTTAGTGCGTTTACATGTCGATAAGTGATTGGAGCGTTTGCAAAACATTTTATTTCGCATAATGCGTCTAAATTTATCAGAAAGCAACTTATGTGATATTTTAATAACAATGTTTATATGACTATTAACCATAATAAGAGAGTAATGACCATTTTACAATTTATATATCACATTAATATGAAACTGCAATAGAGCAATTGTTTGTGATAGAAACCTAGGCATTAGGTCGGGGAATTTTTATCGTGATGACGTGCACGCCACTTTGTTTGGCGTTGACTATACTTTTGTTCATTACTGTATGTCACATTAGACATTTGATGAATCACTCTGTATATCGGTAAAAAGTGAATAAAGTACTTGTCTACTATATGTATGAAAATGCCTAGGACCACACTATCTACTGTACCACTATGCGAATTTAAATCTCGAAGATTCTGTATAGTAACTGAACTATTTACCACAATTTACTTGGTTTTATATTTATAGCCTGAACTGAATATATTTCGACTTTCCTACATGTGTTAATATCAACATCTTACTTTCAGAGCCGCCAAGTACATTTACCAAGTATCAGATGCGTTGCACTACTGTCATCAAAACCAAGTCATACACAGGGACATAAAACCAGAAAATCTGCTACTCACAATAACCAATGATATCAAAGTAGCTGACTTCGGATGGTCTGTCCATGCTCCATCACTAAAACGTAAAACTATGTGTGGTACTCTAGATTACCTGCCACCAGAGATGGTGAAGAATCAGGAGTATAGTTATCATGTTGATATGTGGTGTTTAGGTAATTTCAAAATTATTTTAGAGATATTTAAAAGACTCTCTAGATATTATACTTGCAATAAATAAAATAGTCTGTAATGGGCTCATTCAGGTAAAGATATTTTAAAAAAATTTTATGTATGTGTTTTGAAAATTATAGGTCTTTGAAAAAAATATAGTAATTTCACACCCTACGGCAGTCTGTCAACTCCTGTTACTACAAATATTAACTTTTTTTGGATTTTATTTTTACAATGTAATGATGAATAATGCATCTTCAAACTGGTGTCTGAACCTTACTGCCAACTTTTCTCGTTCAGGAAAAATTGCCACTTATTTCCCAACCAAGTATTCCAAGTATTCAACTTTAACTGGCTGTACTGGAAAAAAATGTACTACGAAAGTTTGCAAGTAACCTTAAAAGTTGGCGCATTTAATAAGGATTCCAAAATGGTATAACACTTAGAAGATTACTCGTTAACTTATGCACAATTTTTATTTGAAGAAAAACTGATGAGAATTTTCCAAAATTTCCTAATTAAACAGCGATTATGAAAACGCACAAGGACCCTTAAGGATAACTGTTTGCACAACAGTGGGCGTCAAAATGCTGCTGATGATGATTTACCTTTACAGCGAATGCTCAAACTGTTTTCCTTCAGCCGCAATACACGCTCGACATCTTCTTAAAAAAGATCGGGTTATTAAACGAGCGAATCCACGGTTATTAACAAACTAAGCTGCTTCCAATAGTCTTTGCCATAGCTCAGCTGAGACCACATTTAAGAATGATGGGTACATGAACCTGCATAACTTACACGAGTGGCACGTAGCAAACCCACATTTGATGAGAGAAGATAAATCTCAATATCGCTTCAAGATAAACCATTGGACAGGAATTTTAAATGGTAAAATAATCGGTCCGTTTGAGTTCCCAGAGACTTTGGCTGCTGAGGTTTATTTAGGTTTTTTGCAAAATCATTTATAAAATTTATTATACGTGCCACTGAGTATTTACAGGGAATTGTGGTTTCAGCATGATGGCTGCCCAGTGCACTATGCACTCTCAGTGAGAGAGTATCTCGATCAAAACTTTCCAGGCATATGGATAAGGCGGTCTCTTACAATACCGTGGCCAGCCCGATCACCTGATTTGAATCCTTTAGATTTTTTTACTGGGGAACCGTAAAAGAAAAACTGTATTTCAAGCCGATTCAAAATGTAGCTGAGTTACGGCAAAGACTATTGGAAGCAGCTGAGTTTGTTAATAACCATGGATTCGCTCGTTTAATAACCCGATCTCTTTTAAGAAGATGTCGAGCGTGTATTGCGGCTGAAGGAAAACAGTTTGAGCATTTGCTGTAAAGGTAAATCATCATCAGCAGCATTTTGACGCCCACTGTCGTGCAAACAGTTATCCTTAAGGGTCCTTGTGCGTTTTCATACTCGCTGTTTAATTTGGAAAATTTTCATCAGTTTTTCTTCAAATAAAAATTGTGCATAAGTTAACGAGTAATCTTCTAAATGTTATACCATTTTGGAATCCTTATTAAATGCGCCAACTTTTAAGGTTACTTGCCAAACTCTCGTAGTACATTTTTTTCCAGTACAGCCAGTTAAAGTTGAGCAAAGTTTTACTTTGGAATACTTGGTTGGGAAATAAGTGGCAATTTTTCCTGAACGAGAAAAGTTGGCAGTAAGGTTGAGACACCAGTTTGAAGATGCATTATTCATCATTACATTGTAAAAATAAAATCCAAAAAAAGTTAATATTTGTAGTAACAGGAGTTGACAGACTGCCGTAGGGTGTGAAATTACTATATTTTTTTCAAAGACCTATAATTTTCAAAACACATACATAATTTTTTTTAAAATATCTTTCTGATAGCTGTTATGACTTTGCCTATCACCCTGTATAGAGGTAAATAACGTAGAAGTTTACATTGTAAATTTAATTTCAGGTGTATTGTGTTACGAATTTCTAACCGGAAAACCGCCATTTGAAAGCGAAGATCAAGATACAACATATCGAAAAATTAGATCCCTGGATTTCGATTATCCGCCATTTATTTCAAGTGCTGCCGAAAATCTCATATCCAGACTGCTTGTTCTCGATGGCAAGTCGCGCTTATCGCTCCCAGAAGTGATGAAGCATCCGTGGATTCAAGAACAAATGAAAAAGGCTTAAAACTTTTCATTGTAATTTCATGTGTACTGAAACTTTTCCGTTGTTATTTACATTTAACGAAAAATATATATTTTAATACTAACATAAACTGTCTTTGTTTCATTTATTCCTAAGTCCTAATAATATCATATACCCAGAAACTTGCAACGATGTCTCGCATAAAAATTTCGTAATATCGCAAGTAAAACATTTAATAAAAAATTATTCAAAATTATGCAGTGCTTAACATACAACAAGATCGAAGATACATAAAATAAAAAGAAGTGGCCCAGGAACCGATCCTTGCGACACTCCCGACGATATTAAAGCCTCAAGAGGAGTGTTCATATCAATGACAACTCTTTGTGATCTATTTGTTGAAAAGTTATTGATTAGAACAATTGATGATTCGGAGAAAGCATAAAGTTTACATTTGGCTATTACGAGTAAAAGTAAATGGCTGATGGTGTCAAACGCTTTGGTAATCTTGTTAGGGCGTAAGAAACTTACCGGAACACTGGGATTTGTTGTCGTAGAATTGTCCGTCATAGCAACTATCGCTATAGACACTGAATCTCTCATGCTGTATGCAACGAAGTTGAGAAGAAATATGAGGGAGACCTGTACGTGTCGCACTCCACATTTCGGACCTAAATGGAATAAAGGCGTCAAATAATACGCACCACAATTTTGTCTCTTACGTCACACATAATTTTTTAAATTATAGAAAAACATTTCGAGTGTTTTAACTAATTACGAATTAACTGAATTAATTTTTGTGCTTCCTTTTGAATGGAATGTTGCAATTCATTTTGATCTCTCACAGTGGTCGTGAAGAAAAGTTTTAAAATAAAATTGAAGGATTTCGAGAGGGCAAAATAATGTTGATCTCAACCATGACCTGGGCCCCAACCGTAAAGGTCATGTTACGGTCAACCAAACATTTACAAACTCAGTATATCGCTATTGGAAGGAGGACGAAGTCTTACGTCAAAATATAACGCTGACCATCAAGGCCATTTCAAGCCCAAGACATTGAAAATTATTTGTTCCAGCATAAATGCTCGTCAGTCGTGAGCTTTATAGGGGTCACCCAAAGGTGGACTTTGCAATGACCATGACGTTCAAGGTCACATGTCAGAATTTCTCACATAACAGAATTTTTTGCTCACTGCAATTTTTGGCATAACAAGGGTTGCCTTACATAAAACATTTGATTGACATGGCCTTGACTTTGAGGTCAAGGTCATAAATATGAATGGATTCCTTTGAAAAATATTACTTGACCTTGAACAACATTGTCAAGGTCATCTTTAGATGACCTCCATAAACCTTGTGAATGTGCTGTCGTACATTTTTTGGAACAAATTATTTTCAGTGTTTTTATTTGAGCTGGAAAGTAATTGACCTTGACCTCAAAGTCATGCTTTTTCCAATTCCAGGATAAAAATGAATGGATTCTTTTGAAAATTTTAAGTTGACCTTGAAAGTCACGGGCAAGGTCATCTTTAGGTGTCCCCCGTAAACCTTACAAATGTGTTGTGGAACATTTTCTCTGGAACAAAGTATTTTCAGTGTCTTTACATGGGCTTGAAATGGTCTTGAAGGTTATTGTGTTCATGACGAGGTCATATTTGGACGTAGAACTTTCTCCTCTTTTCAATTTCGGTGTCAAAAGGAAGATCTAATTTGAAAATAATCGCTTCACCGTGAAATGACCTTGAATGTCGACGTGAAAATTATGTTCAAGGCCACCATAACTTTAAACTCTCGGAACTTTAAAATTGTTTCCCTTTCAGGATATGGACGTTACAGAATTATTTATGTGGGCAGATCAAAATGGGACGCCCTGTATAGTCGCAAACGTAAAGTTGGTTGGTGTCGCGACTACAGGGTACGTACTCTCGTTTTCGTGCAGGCACAGATTTCAGTTAAATTTGGTATATTCTATAGTTCTGTCCTTTTGGCGAATGTTACACTTTCTATATTTGTTGTCATCCATCAGTATTCACCATGAGATGAAGTATTTGTTGAACGTGTACCACGGACAAATACTGATGACAAAGACCACAGTAAATACTGAACGTGTAGCATCAACCTTGGGCGCAGTATTGTTGGGACGCGAGACGCGAGAAGTGTCAATAGTCAGCCTATCTCAATGTGAATCAAGTATCGAAGCTCAACAAATAAATCGTACTGATATTAATCCTGTTGTAATATTCACGTTTTTAGGCTCACCTCTCTCAATATCCTCATTAAATTCATTTTTCATCATCCACGTTCAATATCAGAATATCAATTTACTTCAAACACCTCTCACTGTTATCTGTGTCAAACTTATTACTAATGTCGTTATCAATTCAGCTATTTTTATCCTAACAATACAATAAACGTTGTAATTCCTACATAAATGAAGATAACGAGGTCAATATCATTTCTAGTTGTTTGTAATGGGCAATGCTTCAAGCAGGTTAACTTGAAAGCTCGTACAGTTCGGCTTTCCAGCAAAATCAGATTTCAATCCTTCACATAAAAGAATAGCATGTCGCGGCTCATCGAATTGCCTAGCGACGAAACCCGTTAACCGTTCTCAAATAATTATACGGAAAATTCAATTATATGTCTATATCTACTGAAGTGATTGAGAGAGACGAGCTCAGCATTATTTTATCTCCCATGTTTCAGACGCCTTTTTTCTTACCGTAGATAACCCACTTGGCCACTGAGCGATGTCTCCTTCACATGAAGTGACAAATGTTGAAAAAATAAATATTAAATGCCACTTAATATTACTTAACTATAAGTGCCATGCAATGGTACAACCGCCAAGAAATCAAAATGCGTTATTCTTCATTTTGTCGTCAACTCTTAAAACACGCACTGCATTTAAAGAGAAGCGTTTTGCAGCAATGGTTGAAAGAGTTGACATAACAGAACTAGTTACAAACACCATCAAGAATGACTCCAGACTCCGAAAAATCTCAGATAATGCTCTACGCCAAACATGTTGATGTCCCACTGTAAAGATTTTATACATACATATTTTGACTCTAAATTTGATGACAAAACATGGAAAATAAAAACCTTTGAAATTAGCACCGTATTCTTTTCTTAGCATGACGGCTAGAATGTTTCAATTTCTAACAGGAATTCGCGATACGTGGAATACCCATCGCAATGCAGATATTGACTGGACTATAGATGATGCTCCTGTCGTTGTTGGGAACTGCGCCGCATCAGTGTGCGAATTGTTCAGCTGAACAGACTTTTACAAAATTCAAATCTTTGGCGCCTAATCTCTCTTAGTTGTCATCTTACAGCTTTTGCAAATGTTTAACTAGTTTTTCGGTAGTTTCTGAAGAATATCCTAAACCGAGTAAAACAAAAAGTAGAAGAGCAGTTAAGGGAATTGAAGCTTTCTGGTGAAATAAAATCAGAAATGCAAACATTAATGACGAAAGCTATGTTACATCCATGTTATGGAAACCCACAGTCAGTTTTGTCACACTTCAATACGTACAATTCCATATATTTTTTCTTTTTTTTTTTTCATACATATTTAGTGTCCACATTGGCTTAGGCATAGGCTTTGAAATCAGCGACTTTATGAGGAGACATATCTGGCTATGATGTGGTAAAGGCCTACAGCTCAGGCATATTGTAAGAAATTAAACTCACATTTTTTTGTCAATGAGGTACACTTATTTATTTCCAAGTAGGAAGGTCTTTAACGCCTTATTATGGGCTCCAAGGAACATCTATGTTTAACAGATGTTTTTCTCATTTTATGTACCACTTGTACAATCATATGTCCCCACAAACCTTAAGTGCACGTTTACATCGAACGTGCTTCGCTTGGAGCTGTTCGCCTCACTACATGTCAAGCGAACCTCTATGCGTACAGGTTCGTTCATAACGGAGGCGCTTCGCTTTTTAGACCTCGGTTACTATTAAAACACACTTACATTTATAGATGAATTTTCCAAGCAGTTCACAATGACTCCTTTACGAGTTAAGAAAATATTACTTCTCGAAAGTGTTGCGTTGAATGTGAGTAGAAAAAAACGTTTAAAACGATCGTGGGTGCATGCGATTAATATATGTAGGAAATCGCTCGGAGAATTCTCTATCGAGATTTTGAAACGCATATACATTTTTATGCAACGAATGCTTCGGATTTCATATTGCCTCTCGTTTAAAAACGGCGGTGATATTTTGTTCTGCCATTATATATGCAGATAACCTTCGGAGTTCTCTGAACAAGTGAGGCAAAACGCAACGCAAAACCAACATATCGCGTTTTCCACCGCTCCGCATAGTATAACGTAAGGCACAGTGCTTAGCGCCATGCGCGCGGTCTGAATACATTCATTTAAAGCTGTGTTCTCGTTCTTCTAGCTTTCCCCTGGGCTGTTAAGTAAAGCGCACAGCTCCAAGCGAAGCGCCTCCGATGTAAACGTACACTAAGTCTATGTCTGTGTCACCTTTTAAAAGAAGTTATAGAAAATTTCTATTGGATGCATTGTAGTGTTTCTATTGTTCCTTTCCTTTTTATATTTCAAATATTTTTCTTTTTTTGTTAAATCTGCCTAAAATGATTTGACCTATTTGGTTAAATTATATTTTTTATATAATTTCTTTATATACATATATTTTTTGACGTTTGTAATTATTATTTATTATTAATATTAACTTATATAATTTGGTTAAGAACTACTCTGTTGTAATTTTGTTTGTTGGGCTAGTACTTTGATCAGCTCGTCTGTTTACTAGTCCCTTTTGCAGGGAATTCAAGTTGTGTCTTCATTTTTAATTTTTTCTCTTTGTATTTTATTGAATGCAAATAAATGCTATTATTATCATTATTATTATTATTATTATTAGCAGCAATTTCATCATGGTTTATTTGGCTAGTCCAGTCCTGGTCTGATTCTAAAACGGGAATCAAATGAATCAGGAAACCCATCTCTACCAATTAAATGACGTACTGACACATGCCGCCATTTCGAACTTTCAACTTTGGAATGCGCGCATGCGCACTCGCCAAGCATATCGTAAATAAACTTCTTCTGCTTGTACATCATTGACCCCTGTTTTCTTCGTTTTCGCTGGTTTTCACAATCGTAAACATTTCCGAAGGCATTCATTAAACTGATCTCACCGAAGAGCGGTAGTTAAACAAAATATTCCTTGGAACCCTTGCAGAATCGTTGGAATAAGCTTAAAAGCCAGGTTATGTAGTGAGATTCCAGAGGGGCGTAACGTCCTATTTAACAAGATTTTAGCCTTTCCCCTATTTGTGGTTCATAAGATGTTTGGAAAGAAGAAAAAGAAGCCTCAGATATCGCAACCTACAAATTTTGAGCACAGGGTGCACACGGATTATGATAAGAGACAGGGCAGGTAAAGTAGATCAAGAAACTATCGGTTTTGATGCCTAACGCCAGGAATTGCAATTTTTTTAATTCATTATGAATACTAGCTTACTGAGCCTGAAAATTAGTGCCCCACTAATTTCGAAACTCGTCTAGGCATTACTTTTTAAGCTATGTACTGGTTTTAAGTGTTATATTCATGATTCAAAACTGTAATTGCTAAGCCACACTTTGTTGGTTACTGCCTCCCCCTTGCATATATGTACCATGATGTCTTTAAGCTTCTTATAACAGCCATAGTGCCCCAGTATTTAGGCTCCTCCCTATACATCCGCTTTGGTATAAAATAAAGAGTCACAAATTGCTAGAGGAACATATCATGTTTTCTACGTGGAAATACAACAGCATGAAGACATCTATTACCAGGATCAACTACAGTGGACCTCCGGTAATGTGACAAACATTATGCAGATCAGTGTCAGAGTATCGAATTTGTCGGATTATACAAACTTATCCATAATGCCATCTATTTTATGTAAAGGTCCCATCCCAAACCCTGAAAAGCACCCCCAAACCATAACAGACCAGTATCCATGTTTGACAGTGGGCAAAATGTACTTGGGGTTCAATATTTGTCCACTAGGACGTCTCACGTAATGAACACCATCTGATCCAAACATATTGAACTTGGATTCGTCACTGAAACATACCCTCTTTCAGTCACAGGTGCTCCAATCGAGATGCAACCATGCAAATTGTAATCGGTCCTTACGGTTTTTCCTCGAGATTATCGGGGGCGACGTGCAAATAACTTCAAATCATTTAATCTTCTACTTATAGTTTTCATAGAAACACACAATTATTTCGTCTCGATTTTGGCTTTCATTTGGTCCTGGATCTTTGGACGAAATTACTTTTATTAATCTAACTGATCTAGCATTTAGTTTTCTAGGCTGACCACTTCTCTTAGAGGCTTCCAAGATACCTTTTTGTTTATATTTGTTCAATATTGCCCAAACTGCTTTACACTTCAGCTTCAAATTTTTGGCAATGTCGACTTGACGTTGACATCTTTGTATAACTCAATGATCTTAGTTTTCACATCGAAAAAAATTTCTGGACCACACGGCATGGTCTTAAAATCACTCAACTTATTCCACAATTTTTGATGAACACAAAGTAATCCTCTTCTGACACGAAACTGTACTAAACTAATGTTGAAAAGAATTTGACTACATATTTTTGTCCCTCATAAAAAAATGCTCATATTCAGACTTGTATTGTGTTGATTGCAGATAATGTAAAAACAAGGAATTTAGTTTTTCTACTAATTATGCATTTGTTTATGGAGCAATATTTACCTAAATGCATTTAAATATTCATATTTGTCTATATACTTTTGTCCATTACTGTATATGTAGTAACACAAAACAATGAAATAAAGTCACTTTAAAGATGCAAAAATTTACATAATGTCATATGATTCTTCTTTTTCTTTAAAATGGCATCTTGAAATCATATTTCTAATTTAGAAAGAACCTCCAAAGACTCTGTATCTCCCTAATTTTTGACAAAACTTTTGAACTGTTTGGTCCTGGTAATAGCTTTACCATAATTTGGAATAGCTTCTGATGGTACTGGAACCTCATTGACATCAAAATCTTCGGAAAGTTCTTGTATTTCAACTGGATTTTCAATTTGTTAGCCTGAATCTGGATCTTCAAAATACAAACCTTCATATTATAGGTTGAAAAAATCATAAAGGTTTTCATTATCAGTCAGTTTCAGTAAATTCTTATATTATATAAGTGGTAACTCATCTGGGTCAGATATATCAGCCTCTTTTAACTGGTCTTCACTTTGTACATTTTCATGCTCAAAACCTGCTTTGCAGAAGCAATTTTGCAATTTTTTTTTATGAACTTACAACCTGTACCAGCAGTCTCAATGTTTACTAGCAGTTGTTTGAGTATTAGACTTCGGTAATAAGTTTTAAAACTAATGTCCCAAATGGCCCGATTGAGAAATGCATTAGCGATACTCTCAACAGAAAAAAAAAGACAAGGTGTTTCTTTTTATTTGCGAATTATATGCGAGATGGTCGGACCTGTCCATTTAAAGAATGTGTCCGTGTAAAAGGGGTGACCTTGAAAGGGAATTTCACTGGATATATTATTTAAATGATTATATACCATTTGTTATTATAGGTTTGTGGGATTACCGTTGCAATGGGCCTCCATTGTGGGCAACAACCAAATATTAAAATCCACAAATCGACCTCTACCGTTAGTGGATCCATCAGAAATCACTCCCACTGAAATTCTGGACCTGAAAACTATTGTTAGGGGAGAACATAAACATGAGAACAGGTAACAATAAAATATGATGAGTTTTTAATATCGTCCAATCGGCAAATAGAAGACCTAATTTTTTACTTAATCACACCTTACTTCCAGATTGAGTGGTACCAATCAGCACCCTCAGCCGCCGTCAGTTAGCGGATCGGTGATCGGCGATCGATCCATTAACAATGGAATCGTTTTGCCGAAAACATCCAACGTCGCCAGATCAAATTCTCTGCGTAGCTCAAGCCCTCCGAGATTGAGACGAGACCACAGAAGCAATGCCAATCTACCGCCTTCAGTCCCCGAGGAACAGGTCGTCCTGTATACGTCCATGAGAAGGGATCCAAGCATAGGTAAACTAAAAACGTTGAAAGCTGTACTAATTACCATACCCTAATAATTTTTATTCGAATTGCAGGCAAGCCTCAGGTGGTGAGAGATAGTTCGCCTGCAGAAAGATCTATCAGCAACCACGAGATGAACAATGCGTATGCCAACGGGAACGTCGTGGCTATGTCTGAAGCACATCATGCTTACCTGTCACGAGAACATCCTCAAATTTCGCCATCTGGCTCGATGGTATCGGGTCCGCCACCACCGTCGATGGTGATGTCGCATATGGGTGAGTTTTACAAAATAAATTTCAGTTGGGACATTCACGGTCGTTTTTGACAAATTTATTCTAGCCTCGAGTATTGATCGCACGTTTGGGGGCCGCAGCCCCAACTACATCACTAAGGGTACTATAAAAGTTTTGCAATAATAATAATAATGTTTATTGGTCCAATTACAAAGTTTTCGTATAAATAATAACGGCAATGTAGAATAAACATAATGTACTCAAAAAAGTATACACTTGTGCTTGGGTTTTAACTGAAGTTTTTTAAGTATACTAGTCAAATGTATAAATTTGCATGATTTTATGATCAAATAACATAAATGTTTTTAGTGTCAACAAACTTATGGATTTGTAGCCTTGGTTGATTTAGCCTCCATGATTTTAATTGAATTTTTAAACGTTTTTTACATTTTATATGTTTAAGGTTTGCAGGAAGAACATTATACTATTTTGAGCATAGAAAATTTGGCTTATAGTTTTATTAAGTCTAGAAATTAGTGCAGAGTTTTCCTTGAATCGCGTTTGATGGTTGTGGCTGATAGAAAGTAACAATTTTGGATTTTTTGTTAAATATTGTATGATAAAAATAAATTTGCCGGCAGTCGAAAAGCTGAGATTCATTGTAAATATTTTCTGAGGGACATTTCTCTTTGTTCAACATAACTTTCAAAATCCACTTTTGCGTAATATCAATCTTTTTATAATAATTATTCATGACTCCCCCCATGCTAAGATTCCGTAAGATAGTAATGATTAGACAAGGGCATGATATATCATGTGTTGATATTTTTCGCTTAAAAAACTGCTGAAATATTTGAATTTCGGAATAAGGTATCTTAATTTTCTTACTAAATTTTCAATATGTTTATTTTATACTAAGTGACATATAAATCCGAACACCCAGTTTAAATGGTTTTATTTTAATAAAATTTTGTATAAGTACTTAATGAAGCATAATAAGTAAATGATAAAAATTTCAAAATGATTGCACTGCTTTAAAGCCCTTTGCCTTTAATAATGTGTGGATGCACCCTGATGTGCTACGCATTCTCCAACGCGCCTAGGCATGCTTCTGATCAGGTGGTCAATGTCCTCCTGTGGTATCTCATTCCAGGCAACCACCAACTCCTCTCGAAGAGCTTCTAGAGTTTGAGGAGGACGTTGCAAATTGAGCAATCTCCTACCCATCATATCCCACACGTGCTCAATTGGGGATAAGTCGGGAGATCTTGGTGGCCATGGTAACAATGTGACAGCATTATGTTGAAAGAAGTCTATTGTGACTCTTGCAACATGTGGTCGGGCATTATCTTGTTGGAAAGTTGGATCTGCCAGGGTGTCAAGATAGGGTAAAAGATGAGGTTCTAGAACTTCGTGGATATAACGCTGCGCGTTCATGTTACCTCTGATGAAGATTAAAGGTGACCTGGAACCATAAGCTATAGCACCCCAAACCATAACTCCAACAGTGTGATGAACATGTCTTTCAACAAAAAACTGTGGATTCCTCCTTTCACCACGTCGCCTTCTAACCCTGGCACGACCATCGTGCATGCCTAAACAAAATCGAGACTCGTCACTAAAGACAATACTGTTCCATTCCTGATCCCAGAGTGACCGTTGTCTGCACCACTCAAGGCGATTACGTCGGTGTTCTCGAGTTAAAGGGAGGACCCAGTGTGGCCGGTATGAAAACAAGCCAAAACTTCTCATTCGTCGGTAAACACTTCGCATGCCAATAGGTCTTCCGTGTTCTGCAAACCATTCATTTGCAATGGACCTGGTAGTGGAGAAACGGTCCCTTAAGGCCAATAATCTTAGGCGGCGATCTTCATGGTCTGTTGTTCTACGGCGGCGTCCAGTGCCCCTTGCTCTTTGCGTACGGCATTCTCGAAGCCATGCCTGACAACACCTAACCACAGTGTCTACACTTCTTTGCACTCTAACTGCAATTGCCCGAAAAGAAAGTCCAGCTTCCCGAAGTCCCACTATACGGCCCCTATCAAACTCACTAAGTTGACGAAATCGTACAGGTCTCCGTACTCTAGGCATCGTAACCGATCGTAAAGGATGTCAAGAACCAAAATCCGCCAACGTTGATTCTTTACTGCGGCTGAAATATTCATTTTTAGAGCGTTAGTGAATTAAAAAAAAAGCAGTATAAAAACCGGAATGTCCAACTGATAAGGCTGAACATTTTTTCACTTGTTATTTACAGTAAGATAAATACATTCAACAACTTTTATTAAAATAAAACCATTTAAACTGCGTGTTCGGATTTATATGTCACTTAGTATATCTTAGATGGTTATCGATGAATACCCCTAGGTATTTGAAATTACCAACCGATTGTATGTTTCTACAGCTATTCAACGTTTTAATTTGGAGTTGATTAAAATTTGGGGAAGATCTGTTGTCGCAAGAAAATGTAATAAAGTATGTTTTGTTGAAATTGACTGTTAAAATCCTTTCCGTGAAAACATTTGTAACCTTTTGAAAATCTAATACAATTTTGTTTTTTAAAGAAGTCCAATCTTTGTCTGAGTAAATAATTGCCGTATCGTCTGCGAAACCAATAATTTCTCCATCGTTTTTTAATTTAAAAAGTTCGTTTATATGTGAATTAAACAGCTTTGGTCCTAATACGGTTCCGTGTGGAACTCCGCATCTAACAATCATATTTTCAATCAATAAGTTTCAGTCCAATAGTGGTCAAATACTCGGTGTAGGCTTTGGCGCGGTAAGTTGGAGCATCGTCATGGTGGAGGTACCAAATGTCCATTCTTCACTTTGGCCGCAAGCTTTTCATAGACTCTGTGACTTTAGGCAGGCACTGTTCCGTGTACCACTTAGCTGTGACTGTCTTCTGTGTGTCCAAAACGACCCGCTCAATTTGAAAAATACAGCTATCATTTTTTTCTTAACAGATCGGGATTCTCTGACGTAGTACGACGAGTCTTCTGCACTTCCGTTAGACTATGCGGTATCCAGAGAGAACAAAGTTTCCGTACGTGTAAATGGTCATGCAGAATTAAATTAATTGCTAATATGTTACTCTCCGGTCTTCGTCAAGCATTTTCCTCGCAGCAGTAACGTTTTCCTCTGCTACTGTAAAACCGTAAAACTGACGTGCTGCTAGCGGCTACTATGCACTCATGGACATGTCTCAACATACAGTAACATGCAGCCTCCTGCGTCCGTTTGTTAAGTCGTATTGCAAAACTTTTATAGTATTCTTTGTGTGTTAATAAACTTGAACCAAGCGTATATCTATTATTTTTATCAAACAGGTATCCATTCGCATTCGAGTCACGCTTCACAACAAAGTACTCAACTTCCTACAGCCGCCAGATTACCAGATCAAAACCAAAATGTGCCAGCTTCCACCGCAGTTGCTACCGCTAAGCATCATGAACAAAGACTTACACACGAACAGGTAATTCAAAACCATATGTAGTGGATCTGCATCTGTGAATCGTACGTTGTCCGGAAAGACTGTTTTGACAAAGTCTCCACAATGTCCAGTTTTGCTCATGCTAGGCGGAAGTTAAACTTTCGAACAAACCGTGTTGATAGACAAAGATTTCGTAGAAACGGAGGCTCCACAGGACTAGGCTTTTTTTAATTTGAAACTTTTCAGATATCACCCATTATTTGATTCGACGCTAATACAAACAATCCAATGCTAATCTGTAGACGTAAACTTTTATCTAGCTTACTTATTCCCTCTTTGATCTAGGGCAGAGTTCCCCAAACTTGTTTGTGTCGTAGACCCCTTGCCATGTTTTTCCGTGTTCGGTAGACCCCCTACTTACCTGATATTGATTTCCTGTACTGAAGTGTAGTGTTAAAAACTTAAAGCAAAAACACATGTTAATCTATACATTTATTAATTGAATTTAAATTAAAACTACTAAAATAAAATTTTGTATCTGTTATGTAAAATATACGTAACATTAAATAAACAGGTGTCTGACCAATAAGTGCCCGCATTGGGTATAAGTGCCCGCATTGAAAAAAAATAAGAGGGATAAAATAAAAAAAAAAGTGAAAAATAATAAAAAAAAAGTTTTTTACTTAAAATAGTACAATAAGCGAGTTCGTTTATTAATTATAACATGAACGTATGTTCTACAATAATTTCACTGTTAGTTTGATTAAATTCCGCTTCTTATACGTTTAAGTTATCTAAAAATAGGCAAAAAATTAACGAATTTTAGTGTGTACCTATCCTTGAATTTTCAGAATAATTGAAAAAAAATATTTTCTATAAAGGGGGGGTTCTTTAAAAAAATCAATGCTGGCACTTATTCCCAATGCGGGCACTTATTGGTCAGACACCAATAAACATAAAATAAACTATAAATAAAATAACATAAGCAATAAGTCAATCTTTTTTGTGAGAAGGATGAACCTGATGCTTTAATAATAAATTATCAACATTTGGCGTCAATTTTGTAAGGGTTATTAAATCTCCTCGGCTAATGATGTCCAGTCTGTTTCTTTTTTTTGTTAGGAGATTGGTAACAGCGCTGAACCTTCTTTCCACTAGGAATGACGATGGAAAGGAAATTAAAAATTTCCTCGCTATATTCCATAATACGGGATAAGTAACGGGTATGTTGTTTTGCAGCCAGAATTGCTGATATCCGTTTTTAAACTGAACCTTAAGTTCTTCGTTTGTACTTAGTTCAGTCAGTTCCTCTTGTATTATGACATTCGTTTCTTCTATGTCACCATATGGATTAATTATCCACGGTGGTATTACCATAGTCAAAATATCATCAAACCTAGATTTAAAATCTAAATAGAGGGCGTTTAAATGTTGAACTTAAGTTGAAACGTCGTCTTCCTGGCAGCTTGTCTGTGACAAATTGGGGAACTGAGAAAATTCGCCCCGTCCAATATTTTGCTTCATTAGTTTAACTCTGGCAAGAAACGCTGATAAGATGGACTTTGTTTTAATCAAATTTAAACTGTTCGCCTTGTAATTGCAAATTAACCATATTAAATTTTGTAAACAAATCTGTTAAATGGGCGATGTCTGTTTTCCTCTTCATTAAATTTTCTTCTAAAATTTTATCTTCAGTATCCAGAAATTCTAAAATAGTCTCAAAAAGTGCAAAAAATCTTGTCAAACATAAGCCTTTCGACAGCCAGCGTACTTCAGTGTGAAGGAGTAATTGATGAAAGTGTTCGTCATTTTCTTCACACAACTGCGCAAATAACCGCGTATTCAACGCGTTGCTTCGGATTCGGTTTACTGCATCAATGACTAAATGAAGTGATTCATGCAATCTAACACTCAAATTTTAAGCAACTAAATGTTGTCGATGGATGACGCAATGTATTGCTAACACCCCTGACACATTTTGTTTTAAATAGCTTATAAATCCACGATAACGTCCAACCATGGCAGGTGCTCCATCTGTAGCTACTGATATTATATTTGATAAAGGAATTGCTTTTTCAATGAAGTAATCCTTCAAAACATGAAATATTGATTCACCTTTAGTGTCGGTTATCAAAGTTCTTGCGAAGAGCAGTTCTTCGTAGATTTCTTTATTCATAATAAAACGAACATATGTAAATAATAATGCTGCATTATCAGGTAAAGTTGACTCGTCCAGTTGTATAGAGAAATGGGTCGTTTGCAAATAATTACATAAGAAGCTTTCAATATCAGAATTCATTTCATCAATACGTCTTTCAACAGTATTGTTGCTTAAGGGAATTCTTTGATATGATATCAGATGCAGGTTTGTGTAAAACAGTTTTTAAAACCTCTTCAACGGCTGGCAAAATTAACTTCTCTCCGATAGTATGCGTTTTTCCGGATTTTGCTATAAGTAACGAGATATTGTAAGACGCCCGCAAACCATCATCATTTCTTTGTGACGTCGAAGCGAACATTCTGTCCAGTGTAGGTCTCTTCTGAAATTTATCTTTGAGTGTTTGAAAGTATTTCAAATCTTCCTCTGTTTTATCAGGGTGGCATCTTCTCAGATGATCTTGCAGTTTAGATGGTTTCATAGCGTCATTGCCCAAAACTTTGTTGCATAAAAGGCACATAGACGATAGTTTGTCCGGCAATGATGGAATGGAGCCAAATTTCAAATAATCAACACTGTACTGTCTACATTTTTTTTAGATTCGGACATGGCATCAGTCATCTGTCGGCAAAATTAAATTATTTAAATAAGACAGAAAATCCAGCAGCTGTATATTAAAAATATTTTTTTGATTTTTCCGAAAACATTCCATAATTCGAACATCTTCTTGCAACAATTAGCTCGAATTACGGAGATTGCACTGTAATTATATTACCGATTGCTAAAACTTTCAAAAAGAAACTATTGAGGAGTACTCGTGTAATTTTGCATGATTGAATATTTAACTACTAATAACTAAAGTCATGATTGGCGTAATTTATCTATCTTTGCTAAATACGAGCACAAAACTAAAATTTAATAAAAAATAATGTACTTACTTTTCTCCAGCACTCTCAAACAAAATAACACTGACTCACTATAATTTGTGTGATATACTATGTGTTTATATTTTTTAAAATATTTTCTTAGCACTTTCCTTTTCAAGATTCAGGAAACGAATAAACGTATTTGTCCCACGTTCGTATTTATAGAGCGACGAATTGAACAAGTCAGTGCAAGGTAGCGAAGCTCTGAGACTGCGACTCTCAGGTTTTTACAACATCCTACAACTTACACAATTTTATAAACATATATAATAAATTTTTTACTTCATAGGTACTTTTATAAATAATGTATATGTTTTGATATTATAAGATAGTATGATGTAAGTAAATAGGTACTATCAGTGTATGTGTTGAGATCCACTATCGTAGACCCCCATATTCATTTCATGGACCCCCAAATTTTTTTTCGCTGACGTAGACCCCTTGCAGGTTGTCATAGACCCCTAGGGGTCGATACAGACCACTTTGGGAATCAATGATCTACGGCGTTATTGGGACATACGAGGGTTGTTTCAAAAATAAGGCTCCCACATTTTTTTCAGGCAAAAGGAGTTTTTTATTTGAAAACACGGATTCACCATTGGAGACGTTGAACACACCGTTCTCATGCCGAAATTCTTGGTTGAAATGCGATAGATTGAATCTTCAGAGATATTTAATTCCATTTCTATGTATCTCAATGAAGATTTTGGATCGTTTTTGATAAATTACGCACTTACATCAGCATCTGATGTGATTCGGTATAAGTTGAACGCATAATTTAATATTGGCTCTTTGTTCGATGCTCGTTTCTCGACCGATCCTAAAAAGGTACTGTTACTTTGAGCGCGATAACTCCGCGTGAAGCGGTTCGATTGTCATGCAATTTTGACAGGACATCAACGAAAGATTCACCTATCCAACGCGATAATAGATAGCGCCACTTGTATCGGTTATCTTTCAAAGATCCTCCTTACGTTTTAACAACTCGTTTACTGTTACATCTGGCATGCTAATCAGTCGCCTTTTCAACCGTTAGTTCCGGGCAGCCCTGCAAATGGTCGTATCGTCGAAGGACCCGAGAGAGAACCTGGAGCGGTTCGCGAAGATCGGCGAGGGCAGCACCGGCACCGTGTGCATAGCGCATGACAGATCGACAGGCAGACAAGTGGCTGTGAAGAAGATGGATCTACGCAAACAGCAACGCAGAGAGTTGCTGTTCAACGAGGTGGTCATCATGAGGGATTACCACCATCCGAATATCGTCGAGATGTTTGACAGTTATTTAGGTAAGTTGAAACACACATTTTATATTTGTTATACATATTTTTTCTATTTGAAAAATCAACACGGTTTTTACGAGGTGAAATCGAATTTTTTTATCGATAAATGAAGGTTGGTTTAAGCCATTTATGTATGAAAAATAACGTCAGTCATGTGACCACCGCGGCTTCGTTTACAGGCCAAAATTTTCAATGACTTTTCCCAGAATAATCGGGTCTAATTTCAGTCCGAATATTGCGCTTTAGGGCTGGAATCGTCCGCGGACCATTCGCATACACTTTTCCTTTCAATAATCAAAAAAAGAAAATAGTCAAGAGGTGTTAAATCGTACGATCTCGGGGGCCAACTGACATCTGAATTTCGTGAAATTATGCGGTCTTGAAATTTCGTGTGCAATAAGGCGATTGTTTGGCCGTTGCTCCGTCTTGATGAAACCAAAGATCGTCGACGATCCAATTGTGGCGACAAAAAGTCTGTTAACATGCCGCGATAACGTTCCCCGTTGACGACCAACGATGCCACCAGCCCATAATCCGCACCAAACAGTCACTTTTTCAGGATGGAGAGGTTGCTCATGATATTGGTGTGGATTTTCAGCCTCACAGAATCTGCAATTTTGCTTATTTACGTACCCATTGAGGTGAAAATGAGCCTCATCAGAAACTTTGGCCGAAAATCCGTCTCCTCTTTCCAGCATGCAATTAACAAAAACACGCCGCTGTTGATGGTCCGCCGGCTTCAATTCTTGTGTTAGTTGGATTTTGTATGGATGGAGGTGTAAATCAATGCGTAAAATCCGGCGTAAAGTAGTCTCACTAATTCTCAATTGTTGCGAACGGTGCCTAGTTGAGGTGGTTGGATCTTCTCGCACACTTTCACTCACTGCGGCTATGTTTTCGCGAGTACGAGCTGGACGAGCATGTTGGTATGGTCTATGATCTTCAGCTGAACCAGTTTCCTCAAAACGATTAACAATCCAACGATTTCCAGGCTCTGTAGGGCGCCCAAGTCGGCCAAAACTAGTGCGAAGTTTGCGAAAAGTATTTTTGTATTTCGACCGTTTTCGTAATAAGTTTGGATAACCAAAAAGCGTTGTTGTGTTGCAAACGAATCCATGACCATCAATGGCATACCTTTGACAGTTCATTTATACATACCACATGACTTTTGAATCACGTATTAACACATAAACTTATGGGTAACAAAAAGTAATAGTATGGTGTATCTGAAGTCACTTGAAATAGCATAAAAACCTTTGGTCGGCGCGTCCTTTGTAATTTCATGACGTATCATAGGCGTGCGGCATTTATTTAGAACGATAATAATAATGTTTTTATATCACAATAAATGGATTTTACTATCTTCTTATTTTTTTGATTTGGGATAAAAAATACTTATATTGGGAGTTTAATTTATGTTGACTGAAAGTTAAGAAATGGAAAAATTACAGAATTCCAACGTTTGACATAGGCAAATATTTACATAGCAGGTAGGTATATAAAAAGGTATATAAAGACTTACATTATAGGTATTTATATATCATCCTCGCCTTCGGAGCTGTCGCTAGAGTCATCTTGTAGAGGAATTGCAACGGGATTTACAGGAGGCAAAACACAATATTCATTTTCTTGTTCAATAATATGCCTAGAACACTGCTTCCATAGGTCTGTGGCAGCAATATGAGATACTGCATCTCTTATTGTGGCCAATAGCGATTCACTTAATTGAGGGGTCTGATTATGTTTTCTTACTTTTTTTTAAAGCAGCCCAGACCAACTCAATCGGGTTAAAAATGCAGTAATAGGGAGGTAGACGTAATACTTCATGGCCATTTTGCTGAAGCAGATTGTCAACAACATACTCTTTTTCAAATTTTTGTCTTTTAATAAGATCCAATAATATGGCTTTGGTTGATTTTTGTGGTATTTCCATTCCCTTATCCTTCATAAAATCAATAATGTCTTGTTTTTTTGTGCCTGTATTCGGAATTTTGTTTTTCTGTCGGGAATGGTATGGCACATTGTCTATAATAATCACTGAATTTGGGGAAATGTTTGGTATTAAATGCTGCTCTATCCACTTTTCAAATAAGTCGGAGGTCATGTCCTCATGATAGTCGGCACATGATTCTTTGATATTTTTGGCAGATAACAGCAAGGCATTAGGTATAAATCCATTTTCACTGCCATCATGGAGAATAATGATTCGTTTTCCACGGTTGCATGGTGCATTTAAAATGCACTTGTTGCTGTCGTCAACCCAGCCGTACTGCACAACATCATGGGTATCATACCACGTTTCATCCAGGTAAATCAGATTTCTTTTCTGCTCTCTATAGATTTTAACTTTGTGCAAAAATTCTTGGCGCAATTCAACGATTCGAGACGACTCCATAATCACCATTCTTTTATCTAATTTTTTGTATTGAAAACCACACAGTTTTACAATACAGTGCAGTGAGTCTAAGCATTTGTAATTATAATATATTCAGGATAATCTTTTAATTTATCCCGTATGATTTCCAACGTGGGCACCAAATTTTCTTTATAAAATCCGTATATTATACGACGAATATCTTCCTGAAAACCCACGTCTATTCTTTTTAATTTTTGCCCTATGTGCTTTCTGTGGAAGGAATGGTTGACTACATCTCCCCTTTTTATAACCCGATAAATGGTAGACCGACTGATTTTTGTCAGGATACAAATTCTGTGTAAAATTTGATTTTGCGAGGAATCTGGATTTTCGTTTTTCAGACAATCATACATATTTAGGATTACTCTTTGGGTCTGTTCCTCTAAATCTTTATGAAAGAATTCTGCCTGCACAGATTCATCAACCATCTCCTCGTGGCTTGGAGCATTTTCCCAAGGTCTCCAAAGAGCCATATTTAGGACACACAAGAACAATCAACACAACAATTAAATCAACAAGTAAACAGAGTATTCAAAAGTTAAAAACGCACAAACTAATAAAATCTATGAAAAAACACGGACAGACTAAAGAAAACACGTTTATTCGACGCTACACGGCACTGGCTAAACTGTTTCAATTTTCAGTAGCCACCTGCACTTGTTCCGAGCTCTGAAATACACGCTTTCTCATTGGCTATGTCCACGCATAGGCGTGCTTTACTCCACGTGGACCGGTGAAACTGCCTTTGATCTCTTATACGGGGGGATATTTGATGCGAAATTTGGCGATTTTTGCAGCAACATAGCGTGTTAAATATAGATATATAAAACGCACCCGGTATTTCACAGTGTTTCAAGTGACTTCAGATAAAGTATACATTCTATTGTCTTGGACCTCTCTAGGTTAGATTAAAGATTATTCTCACTGACCGTCTAGTTTTGTCCCTATTCGATTACTGCGATGTCGTTTATGGAGCTTCCTTCACGGATTGTGGACGAATTCAGAAACTCCAAAAATCGTGTCGTGAGGTTCATATTCGGCATCCGCAAGTTTTACAGGGTATCAAACAAGCTAGAGGACGGTAGTTGGCTCAATATGGCTTCCAGAAGAAAACTTCATTCAGCAACATTATTCCATAAAATTGTTTTTAACTTGACCCGTTCGAAAATTAACTAGGGGAACGGGACTTTCGAAAAGCACTGCATAGAATCAGCGATACCCTTTTTTTTTTCTAGTGAATGATGAACTGTGGGTGGTGATGGAATTCCTGGAAGGTGGCGCGCTGACGGACATTGTGACGCACGCGCGAATGGACGAAGAGCAAATCGCCACCGTGTGCAAACAGTGTTTGAAAGCGTTGGCGTACTTACATTCTCAAGGGGTCATACATCGAGATATCAAATCGGATTCGATACTGCTAGCACTCGACGGGAGAGTGAAGCTGTCCGATTTCGGTTTCTGTGCTCAGGTAGGTACAAATGTCATCAAGTGGATCGACTCCGAACTTCTTATTGTACCTACTGGATCTCTGAGCATTACAAGGTTCACGAGATGTGCAATCCGCAACATCAGCCAGTAAAGTTAAATTATTATTATTAATTTTTACATTGTTTTATGAATCAAACTTGAACTATTATATTGAAGGTATCCCAGGAGCTACCGAAACGCAAGTCTCTGGTTGGCACGCCGTATTGGATGTCCCCCGAAGTGATATCTCGGTTGCCTTACGGTCCCGAAGTTGACATTTGGTCGTTGGGTATAATGGTGATTGAGATGGTGGACGGCGAACCGCCGTTTTTCAACGAGCCGCCCTTGCAGGCGATGAGGCGTATCAGGGAGATGCCGCCGCCGAAATTGAAGAACGCCCATAAGGTGAGATTATTGCAATTTTCCGATAGGAGGTATATTTTGTTGGTATTCAAACATATGCGACTGGGTTTTAAGTATTTGCCATAAATTTAACAGACGATTATTTGAGCAATTTGACAAAAAGTTCATATAAACATAGGATTCAGGGTGTCAAAATTAAAAAAAATTGTTTTTCGTAAATATGTTAAATATCCTTTACATAATTTTGTTGTAATTTGGTGGTGGTATTTATAACATTATGGAGCTAATTTAGCCATAGCTTGATTCAATTTATCAAGTCCAATGGCGTCTCGAGCCGGGTCTGAACGAATATCTGACAAAAAATTGTACGTTACGGACTTTTATGCAATTTTTATTACGTTCCAAGAATTGCAGTGGTTAAGTATAAAAAATTTCATATCATATTTGGTTCTTATTTTTATATTTAAAATAAATCATCGTTTGCCAGAACATTTAGAACACTACATAGAATTGAATAATCATTACCACAATTATTATACAAGAGGAAATATAGATTTTCATTTACAAAGTTGCAATAGTAATGTAACTACCAAATCAATATTTCAGAAAGGATTACTTGAATTTAATAAACTAAATAATGATAAAAAGTCTACTTGTAATTTAAAGATATTTAAAAGAGAATTAAAGGAATATTCCATGGACAGTGGAAATTCTTAAAGATGCAAATTTTGTTTTCAAAATATCTGTATGTTATTATTGTAGTTTTAAAAAAAATGTCATGCTAAATAAATCTTAAACAAACAAACAAACAAAGTTGATGCATTGGTTGTATCAGGTCTTGTTTTACAGATATTTCCAATCACTAAACATTTTTTCGGCTGCTTGCACCTATATTTCATAACTATTTGGATATACGCGATTTTTTCAAATTTAGTCGTTTAATAATGAAGTTAGCCAGCAACATTTTTTGTATCTCTCAATAATGAGCCTGCTCATATACCCTCAAAAATATAATTCCGCTGTGAAACCATTACATTTTTTTCTGAAACAGTGTCGATTTTTGACTAGTCAGCATGTGAAATTTCAATTTTCCAGACCTCAAATACTACATTAAAACCAAGAAGTACTGGTTTATTTTTCAGTGCCTCAAATTACGGGACTCAACGAGGTTTTTGCACTGAACATAACATTTCTTTCTAGGTATCTCCACGACTGCAATCTTTCCTGGACAAAATGCTGGTACGGGACCCCATCCAAAGGGCGACAGCCCAAGAATTGCTCGCGCATCCCTTCCTCCGTCAAGCAGGACCTCCTGCGCTCTTGGTGCCTCTAATGAGAGGCGCCAAACATACCAACTACAACTGAATCGTTTACACTTGATACCAGTGATTAGTCCCGAATTGTGCCTTTATTTTTTACATTTTGATGTGATTCGATCCTTCATTTACTGAAACTGAAAGCTGGACATATTGAAATGACTGGCTAGGTATTCGTTGGTCGTCTAGCAACAGTGAAGGGTTAGTCCTGATTTGTGCCTTTTCTTCTTGATGAGGTTCTACTTTTTGAACTACAACTAAATCAAAACCAAGCGGTCTATTAAACAGAGACTAAACACATGGAATTTCCTGCTATTTTGTATAGGAATCACTTTCATATTTAAAGTATTTCTTTAACTGGCAGTTATTTGGAAACATTCAGAATTGCACGCGACATTTACATATTTTGTGAGCTAGTAAACAGGACCGTTATATGAAATGTTAGAAGATGTAAATCCTGATTCTGCACATTTATATCGAATCAGTTTCAATTATTTTTAAAGGTATTTATATAGTAGGTAAGCTTTAAATTATATAAAATGTTTACTCAAAACCAAATATCTTCTGTCGTTCGATTATACAGGGTGCTTCAGCCGTGCGAGGACCGAATATTGCTCCTAAACAAAAACAAATCCTTCTAACAGCTTATAGAACTCGTCAAAAGAAGTTGACATACCCAAAATCTCCTACAGAAAAGTTGCATAATAAGAATTTTAGTTTAAATTATTTAAAAAGGGATACCGTTCCACGACTTCGAAAATAACATCCTGGTGTCCACGGATTAAATCGCAAGCATTTTCAATGCGCTGTTGAAGTTCTTCCAGAGTATTTACTGCTCCATCATGATACACCAACTCTTTCAAATAACCCCGCAGAAAAAATCGCAAGGCATTAAATCCGGGGAGCGAGCAGGCCAAGAAATGAGTCCATTGTCCAACTTTGCTAAAATAAATAAATAAATAAATAAAAAATTGTAAAGTTATAGGCTGTGTCTCACATGTAGAGGAGCATCTTCTAATAATTGTGGCAGATTGTGGTGAAGAAAATCTAAATAAAATTCACCGGTCACTCGAGGAGGAAAAAAGTAGGGTCCAATAAGCTTGCCATTTACAACGCCCGCCCAAACATTTAACAAAAATATATGTCCTCAATTTGTAACATTTCAAGTTGAGCAGGTTCTCCAGCCTGACCTTCTCGTTGATTCTTTAAATATCCTGTGGCACGAAGTCTAATTAAATTTACAAACATCCGTGCGGCCGGATGATTTTCCCTATCAACCTGCATGCTGCGGCTGCACTAGTTCATTGTTTTGGTAAACAAGATTATTGAGAATGTCTATAAAATCAGGCTTTCATCCAGAAACCAAGCAATTCAGTATCGTAATTCATTATTACAGATCAATATAATGATATAAAATTCATTTTTTGACATGTCTGAAAATGACGCCTATAAGTAAAAATTGAACTGTTTGTACTACTAGAAAATGTTCATTTGCTGTTGTGGGTCAAAATTAGGAATTGCGAATATTTTAGAAATTGTTTTCTTTGAATATTTTTTGTTTAGGTGCAGTACTCTGTCCTCGCACGGTTGGGACACCCTGTACATGAAGTAATTTATACGCCGTATTTTACAGGTACTTAATTTTATTTATGAAGGCTGCTGGTACTTAATTTTGAATGTTGATCACAGATAATTTTCAATGCAAATTTCTATTTTCAAATTCATACTCTAAACGTTGTTGATTTTATTCTGCAATTTTTAATAATACTGCGTTGAAAATTAACTATGACCAGATCCAAATTAGGCCATCCATTTAGCATAAGGTATAAACGCCCTGTATATGTACCGTCACGTTGTAAAGCTTACACTTTTTTTGTCGGATTAAGGCTACAAGTAAGTGTTATTATTTGTATATAGAATTTCTTTTTCAATTTTTATTGTGTTTGGAACGAATCTCATTTAATCATACGACATTTTATTAATTTTTTATTCTACGCGCCCTAATACAAAATAGTTCGCGCATTATCTAATTTTATCTTGAAGTTTGTTTATTTTTTTAAGGTTACTAAACAATTTTTCATATTTTGATATTTAGCTGCGTTGACAGTTTCGTCTATGAAGTGAAGTTTTCCACCGCCAAAAACAGATATGCTTCCCCATACCATTAAACCTGATGGAAACTTTATTTTTCTCCCTAAGCAGTCTTAAATTAAATGCTTCATTTTTGTTTCTTATAACCTGGGATCGGTGGTCACCCACACAATCAAATTTCGATTCATCGCTAAAAATGATCTTTTTCGAGTCTTCGTTCCTTAGCCCGCGCTAACCGCCTTTTGTTTTGTTTTTCATGAGCGACGGCTTTTCTTTCGCCTGAAGCAAAGGTTTTGCTACATACAGGGTTTGTCCGAAAAGTAATAGGACTGGGTCGATTTAAAAAAAATTATTGAGCCAATCGTTACGATTCTTTAAAAACTTTCAAATACGAACAATAGATCTTCGCATTCTAGGACTGATCGTACGCGGCCTAACAACACCTTGTCTTGAAACTTGAGTTGAACCTGCGTCTTCATACTTTTTTACAGCATCTGCCACCGCAGGCTTTGCGACATTTATTTGTTTAGCAATATCCCGAAAACTCTTTCCTTGATGAAACAACTTTATGATTGCACCGTTTGTTGCTTTACCACGCGACATTTTATAGCGAATGGATTCACAGAATTGATTCTTAAATAAAATCGTCAAATTGTAAACACTTTCTTTTTAATATCGTGTCCGAACATTTTTGTGTCAGCAAAACGATGCGTTGTTATCGATATTAGTTTGATTTTATATTTCAATATCAGCTCTGTTAATATGATGATCAAACAATTGTCTTATAAAATTTTTAACCTTTTAGATAAAATTAGATAATGTCCGAACATTTTTGTGTTAGGGCTCGTACATATGGCTTTAGTGTATGGGCATTGTAGTTTTTTATAAAAACGTGCATTGATAAAACCTGCTGTGCCTGTAGTGATTATTTCGTACAGATCTGATATTTAAATCCATATATTCCAAAAGTCAGTATTAAAATTATTTTTGAAATTAGATTGATTTTTGTAAGGTGATCAAATGTTTTATCACGATTTTACAATGGAAATTGGGTTAACAAATATTTCGCATTTTCCAGATAGATATAACTCATCATAAAATTATATTCATAATAGGTATTTTTAAGCCGTCCAGAAAACGTGCCTTTTACAAACTTGAAATTCCTATTTTTCAATAGCGATTTTAAATTGGATTCTAGCGATTTTTCAATGGAGTGACTGAGAAGGTTATAAGGTATAAAAAAATGCTGGGGACATGGAAATAAGACAAAATGCATCTTCACCACTTATCCCAAAATTTTCTGATCTTTGCTATCATTATACAATGGCATCCCAATTGACGGATTCTCGTCTTCATCCCACGACGTCAATGCGGGTGTTCCACAGGGATCGTTCTTGAGTACCATATGGTCCCTTTTACATATCAATGACCTACTTTCCTGTACGATCAATGCGATCCACAGCCTCGCTGTTGACAGCACTCTGCATGCAGGAATTCAGTGCGACAAGTCGTCCTGTGCCGGTGAGCTGGAAAAAAGAAGACTAGCGGCGACTTGCTCCCTGGAGGTTATCTCTACTGGGAACGCAAAAATCTAACTAGAAGCCAACTTCGTACATCCAGAACTGGTCGATACGACCGCTCCTTTGCCGCTAGGTATCGAGATTGTGGGACAATCTACCTGAAGAGGCTTCTCCCAGTTCTACTAACAGTTCAAAATTCGGATTAATACAATTTTTTTAAGCTCCTCACATCCGCCCTGGTATTTAGGCTACGCAGCTTCGGTTTAAAAAATATCCGGTCTCTAAATTATGACATATTTCAAAACCTCAATGTGATCACTGATTAACGTGGTGGAATACGTGGATCAATAATTTGATGGAAAAAAGAAAAAATCTTCACTTAAACCTTGTCAGTCCGAGTAGAAAATTCTACAATTTTTGATATTTTATAAGGGATTATATATGGGGTTGTCCAAAACGGAGGCAGGAAAGTAAACGCATATTAAAACAAGAAAGATTGATATTCAAATCAAGTTGGGTACTTTATTTTGAAGGTTCATTTATACCATTTATGTATGAAAAATAATATCGCTCAAATGTTCACCACGACTGGATTTACAGACGTCCACGCGATGGTCGAAATGGTCAATGACATTTTGCAACATGGTCGGTTCTATGGCATTTATCTCGGCAATCATGTTGTTTTTGAGTTCTTGGAGGGTGGCTGGTTTGTTGACTTAGACTTTGCTTTTCAAATATCCCCATAAAAAGAAGTCCAAGGGAGTCAAATCGCACGATCTTGGTGGCCATGGCACATTTCCTCTGCGCGAAATCACGCGATCACCGAAGAAGGACTGCAATCGATGGATATTGACGTTGGTTGTGTGGCATGTTGCACCGTCTTGTTGGAAATAAACATCGTCCATATCCATTCCTTCAAGTTGCGGCAAAAAATAGTCCTCTATCATCACGTGATATCGCTCAGAATTGACGGTAACGGCGTCCCCGGCCGCATTTTCGAAAAAGTAAGGTCCGATGATGCCTTTTGACCACAATGCACACCACACAGTCACTTTTTGAGGATGCATCGGCTGCTCTTGATACTCACGGGGATTTTCGTTCGCCCAGATGCGGCAGTTTTGCTTGTTTACCGTCCCATTCAAAGTGAAATGCGCTTCGTCGCTGAACATGATTTTTGATGAAAAATTGGCATCAATTTGGCGGTGTTCAAGGAGCCAATCTGAGAACGTTCGGCGCGAAAAATGGTCGGCCCGACGCAGCTCTTGCGTCAATTGGATCTTGTAGGCGTGTACATTCAAATCCTTGTGGAGAATGCGGAGCAAACTGGTTCTCGAAATGCCCAATTCATGGGATCGACGCGTTGTTGATTGTTTCGGATCGTCTCTCACACTCTCCTTCACAACAGCAATATTTTCCGGTGTGCGAACGCTCCTTGGCCGGGCAGAGCCTGGCAGATTTGCCACAGAACCTGTTGCCTCGAATTTACGCACCAGACGACCGATGGTTGTTTCGTTTGGGCGGTTGTTGCGACCGAAATGTTCACGAAGCGCGAGAAACGTGTTTTTTATTTTTGCACCATTTTTGTAGTGCTCTTGAATAACTTTAATGCGGTCTTCAATCGAATACGACTCCATAGCGATCAATGGTAAACATTCAACTAACAAAATGACATGTCGGTGACAGAAAACAAAGATGGCGTCTATGTCAAATTGACGTTTACTTTCCTGCGTCCCTATTGGACAACCCTTTGTATGGTAATTTTTGCTGTGACTCGGAATTTCGATTTTTAAGACCTTTTTAATGAAATAGAATTTAAAAATTTTATATAGGCTTACCTTCATCTGTACGAGGATTGTTTCAAAAATATGGCTTCCACATTTTTGTCAGGTTTTATTGAAAAAATAGAATTCACCATTGGAAACGTTGATCTTTAAGCTATTTTTCTTGCTTGTTCTGAAAGCATGTGTCGCACACAGCTTGTGGTAGCTCAACTTTTCTTTCAAAATTGCCATTTGAGGACATGTTGAATTTTTAT